CCTTTCGGCTTTCCTTGCAGAAATCAGATCATGCCCGCTGCCAGAATCCAGGATGAATCTACGATCTTTGGCTTGCACTGGTAGTGAAATGCACATTATGTTCTTGGACTTCATGAGGGAGTTTCCAACTTCGTGTTCAACAAGCTCTTCAATAAAAGTCAAGTCATCACGATCATTGTCCAGTTTGATCAACATGTCGAACTTGGGGCCAATAATGATTCTAACTTCATCAACAAAACGATGGAGTCCACATCTGTCCATGATGATAGCCTTGGCCCGTGCTCGGACTGAACCGAGGGTGTTGTCGGACTTAGACTGATCGTCGGTCAAATCATCGACTTTCCAGAAAACATATTGCTTGTTGGGGTCACGATACATACGTTTGGGTAGTCCCTCCTGGTAGTCCTCAATGTCGATCTCGTGCACCTCAGGTTCCAGATCAAATGAGATCCTGCGATCATCAGAAGACTTCTTTGCGCTGGCTATCCTCGGTGAGGTATAATCCATGGAATCTTCATTGTCGCTATCAAAGAAGGAATCAATGGTAATGGGAGTCGCCTTCTTCTTTGGTGTCTTCTTGCTGGTTCTCTCTGAGGATGCTGAAGGCGATTTATCTGCATGTAGGAATTTACATTTGTTTCCGAACTTGCAGGTACCTTCTTGCCAATTCCAACATACCTTCTTTTTGGGTCCAGCTGAAGATGAACTTCCTCTACCTTTCCCTCTTGATGAATCTCGACTTCCGCTTCTGCCTTTCTTACCTTTCATCTTGGCATCATAGACCTTCTGAGAATGACTGTAAAGACATTTGTCCCCTTTGTTGCATCCTCCTTTATTGAAGAAGTAGTTACAGAAAATCTTCTTCTTGTCAACGGGTGAAGATGATCTTCCCTTCCCACCTTTGCCTTTCTTGTTGTTCTTGTCGGCATGGGATTTCGGAGAAGGTGTAGGAAGTACCGATGCAGCTTCACTCTTCGCTTTCGCCTTAGGACGTTTGGGAGGATCACCTGTAGACGATGCGGCCGCTTCATTCTCCTTCTTGGTCTTGACGGGAGCGGCAGGCTTGTCTGCATCTTCTAAGGCAGGTGTCGTCTTGTTAGAGGACAATGACAGTTTCACTGCACGTTCTCTATCTTTCAACAGTCGTTCTTGCTTCCCTCGTGCTATGTATCCCTTGATCATACCAGTTAGGTAAGCATAGGTCTTCTCATGATGCCCTTCATCAAAGGTTTTGTATCGGTTGATATCGAAGGCCATAAGTTTTGAATGTTCAATCTTCCGGAACAATGTGTCACGCAGGGAATTGTTGGAAGGCAGATCATCATGTTTCATATTGTATACGATGTCAAGCCACTTGTTGTAGAAGGCCTCAAGTTGGTCATCTCCATAGTAGTTGAACATATACAAATGATGGGCATTGTAGAGAACTTCAGTGTGGTCAGGTGACTTGAAGCTAATCAATATCATTGCAAATAGTTCTCGTCCCTTGATGAAGTCCCCACTTCTCCCATACAATTGGTTCTTCATGGACATGTCATACTTCACTTGCATGGACTTGTCCCCAGCATTGTCAATGACTTTCCTCAAGGCATTGGAGAGCTTGGCATCAATGGATTGGAATCTCACATCAGGAGCTTTGGCCAGCGCCTCCAAGTCAGGTTGATCTGCAAGACACGGAGCTAACCACGCCTTCCAATCTTCATAGTTTCGATCTCCACTTGCAACGCAAACTTCATGAACGACACTTCCCTTCCAGGATGAAAGTTCAGTGGTCTTAGGCCAGGGTTGGAGGCTGATCTTTTCGGCTTCTCTTAGGGATACAGACGACTTGGATCTATCCCTTTCAAGGTTCTCCAACTCCTTGACATTTGTGTTGTACTCGTTCCTGAGCTTCTCGAAGGCTTCAGCTTCTGCTCGGTATTCCTGCTCTTCATCATTGGCACGATCTTCAGCTTGAGAGAAATTGTTCTTATAGTAATCTTTACGATCTTCCATCTTCTTCAACTCATCTTGAAGATTTCGAACTTCAGCGTTCCTCTCTTGCTTCATCTCGTCCAACTCTGCTTTCAGTTTGGCACACTTCTCTTCACATTCATTCCGAGGCATGGCATTACTGGGGTACCCATGTAATGTAGTCGGTCTATTCATTGATGAAGAAGAATGAGCTTGGTTTTCCAACTTCAGGGCAGCAATGGTGCTCGACATTTCTTCTACCTCAGCGTAACGCTCATTGGCCAATTGATGCATCTCGGTCAAATGGCTTTCAGGAATGGAATAGTCAGTCGCACCTTTGATCACGAGTCTTCTGTCGTTCAACATCTTGATGGACTTACCTGCATCCCTGTGAGCACGCTCAAGAGAGTCCTTTTGGGCTTCAAGTTCAGTATGAAGGCGAGCAATAGCTGTGTCCCTGTCATTGATTTCATTGTGCAAACTGTCGAACAAGTTACTCGTCACATTCGGATTGTTGCTCATGTGATCGATCTTGTTCAGAGCATCTTGATATTTCTTACCAGTTTCATCAAAGTTTCGCTGGAAGACTTTGAGCAGGTCCTCAGTGTCAATGAGTTCAGTTCTATTTTGCAAGTACAACTTGTCAACTTCAGCTTTGGATTCCTTCAAACTGTCACGCTCCCGCACGGCTTGCATATACATCTCATATAGAGGTCCTCCATGCGGTGATCTGCTTGGTGAAGATCTTCTGGCTTGTTGACAGGAAAGTTCATGATACTGATTCTTCGATTCAGTCAGTTGCTGTTGCATTCGATCTAAAAGACTTTGTTTCATGTGTAGTTCAAAACGTAGTCCCATGATCCTCATGTCCCGCATGCCGCCTGATTCAGCTAGAGATTCTTCAGAAACCCTGTTCTCAGAAATCGCTAGTCGAGATTGTAAGTTCTCACTGTGGATCACCTGTAATCGAAACTGTGATTCTTCCAAAGCTAAGTGATGTTCACATTCTGCATAACGGTCATGTTCAGATCTTATGTTACTACGGAACTCCTTCATGATCTCGTCCCTCTTCATGTCAGCAGCATCTAACTCAGTTTCCAGTCGCCTGACATTCATGGCCATGGTGTGCTTCATCGTCTGGTTCTGGTTGGCAACCTCGAGCATCTCGATCTGCAAAGCACATGTTTGGTCATTAGCATAGCCGACTGCTAGAGCTTCTTGCTTGGCATTCATCTCTGCGTTTTCCAGTTCCAGTCTGAGTTGATTGATGTGAGCATTCGCGTCAGTTCCCACATGTACCATAATTGCGTTTGCTTGTCCCATTTGTTCATCGAATTCCGAACGTAGTCGTGAATATTTGAATTCCAGATGAGATGCAGCTTCATTCGACATAGTCTGATACCTTTCCAACTCTTCGATCCTGTAGGTCGCACCTTCATCTTCCTGTTGTGCAGCCTGTAACTCGAAGTTCAGCATCTGGAGTTGTTCGGTCATCGACATCATCTCTTGATGAGTGGTGTTTTCCAGGAAATTAAATTGTTGATAGGCATATGCTGTCGTCTCGCTCAATCTTGCCTGAAGTACGGATTCTTCTTCAGTGGCCCTCTCCAGTGATGCCTTGTATTCTGCTAACTCACTCTGATAGGCAGTGAAGATGTCGCTACCACTTGACGGGGCATTCACTTGCTGATAAGATCCTGTCCCTGATGGAGTAGCGTCCTGAATCGGTGAAGGCGGATTCGACGACGTAGTCTTTGCCTTAGTCCTTGGAGTCATCGGAGGCGACAATTGTCGTGCAGATGATCTTCTCTTTCCAGGTGTGCTGTCCCTATCTTCAATTGCTTGCATTGTCGAAATTTGTCTCCCTCTAGGAGCAACCAGAGGTCGCCTGGGTAGGCTTGTTCTCAATTCTGAGGCATCGCTTCCACCAGTGTCGATACTCTGTGAAGAATTTGACTGCGTGCCGGCAGCTGGTGCGACGGCATGTCCAGAGAAAGAAAATGCGTTATCGCTGCTATCCTGTTCAGTCATCTGTAAGGCCCGCGGCTACCCGCTCGTAGGCTCCGTAGGAGTCCTACGGCTGATAACCTGCGAATCGTAGGTTGTCTCCCCGATTATGTTCTGGTACTTGATTCTGAAATGGGTGTTTCAGTGGTGACGTCACACGGGTAGCGGCTTCGGCATTGCAATTCTTTGTTCCGGTTCCTGCAGTGGTCTTGAGCCAAAAGGGCGAGTTGATGTACCCCTTGGCTGTGGATCTTTGAGGGCTGAATTATGTGGTAGTGTACAATGGTCCGTAGCCTACACTCTATTCGCACCTACATATCCCATAGGATCCATGTATGGTATATATGCTAACATAAAGGGGGGTATATTGATGGGATCCATGTTACCATATATATATATATATATGTAGCAGCCCCATGGATCCTATGGGATATACCTACATATATAATTATATATGTATAAGATCGCGTGGCTACTTGCTTAGCACCAGCTCAGGATCATCGGATTTGACAAAACAAACGCGCTTCTCTTGGAAAAGCTAAGCCGGGCAGGAGGTAGTGAGGTAGCCTCCGGGAATCGAACGTTACAATGTATACTGGTGGTTAATAATATGGTTAATAATATGGTTAATAATATGGTTAATATATGGTTATTATATGGTTAATGATGACTAATAATAAACTGATTGGTGGTCTGAAGCCCTCTGAACAATATTACAGGTTATTGTAGAGGCCCAGAAACAAAACGATCAACAAAGAGGCCAATGTTCACCCCAGAAATGATCAGAAAGGAAGGTCTCCTTTTTCTGGTTGGTGGTATACCATGGTATACCTACCCCTCTGAAAAATATTAGTCAGTTGGGATCATTATTCCCAATATATGGAAAAATAAAAAATGTCCCAAACCACCAACCAGTAATGATCAATATATCTATAGATGTTCATGCAAACGTATACATGTCTATTGTATACTTATATATATATGTATGATCATTATTATATTAAACGTCTCCAATCCTTCCATGCCATACTGAGTCTTCGACTGGAATCTCTTGATTCCAGTACTCACCGAACCAAAAGTTCTCCCACTCCTTCCCGGCGCTGTAGCGAGAGAAATGATGAAGCATAAATTGAATGATCTGGGAAAAAACTTGATGCATACTGAAAGATTCACAAAGATGTAATGCAGTGTACAGCTGTTAATAAATATGTACATGTCATATACGTGTTACATGTACACATCATACACATGTGTCTAGAGACACTACATCCAAAATCAATCAAAATCATAGATTCCGTTCCCATCTCAAGGCTTCACTTTGGTCCTCTGCTAGCTTGTTCTTCTCAGATCTTGATTCCTGCGGCTCGTAAAACTGCCGAAGGAACAACCAAGCGAGTTGCTGCTATTCACTGGTAATGAGTTTGAAACTACAAGCATCAGTCCACCATTAAACACATCTGGAAAAAAACATTACCCCGATGCTCCATGTATGGAATATTTACCAACATTTACCCTAAAAATCACCCAAATGTAGGTAGATATACCATACATGGAGCATATGGGTTATAGCTCAACCTTTACCCGGTAAGTACCAGGTGTCACGAATCAGTATTTGAAACTCCCTTGAAACTTTAAGACCAACCAAGGATCATCCTACCAACTAAATCAACATGAAACAAGTAGAACACATACTTACAAATAAACAGGGAAAAAACACCAAGATCAATACCAGCTTTCACTTAGTTCTTTTTCCGCTTTGTCAGATATGGGAATTAATTACTATAAGTTGCTGGTTACTCCTACAAATGAGTCTGCCAAGATTGCACACAAGACACATCGTAGAGCTCTGGTCCAGTACCGCCTTGTTAAAACTGACCAGCTCAATTCCAACAGATCGTTTTGTGGCACGTGGTGGCCTTTTCACCAATAAAATCCAATCACTGAAAAACCTGACCCAGAAACAGTCAATCATGTGAGTCATGTGGATGTACAGAGACCAATTGATATCCATTGATCTGCCATAAATTGCCCCTTATGAAACCCTGGTTTAGTATTGGATTTCTGAAAATCTTCATGTCCCTGATCCATGCTGGAGGTATTTCATATGGGGCATGGAAATGACCGTAGCCAGCTTTCGCCTTCTCATCTTCAGCGACTCGCCTCGCGACCTGGTTCAATGGCTTTCAGACTTCAAGTCTCTGAGCCCAAAAAATGGCTTTGTCTGAGAATTTATACCCTCGGGTAAACTGACATAACTATGGAAAATCACCATTTTTAATGCTATAAATGGCCATTTTCAATAGCTATGTTAGTCATTACCAGAGGGTATAGGTCAATTGACCGGATTCCAATGGATTATGTACTCTAACGGATTCTCATGTTTTCCCATTTGAACTTATGTCAATGGCAACGCCCAGGAGGCGATTTTTTGCGACGAAACAGTGCATCCCAATGGTCGTTGAAGGGAGGAGGTTATAGCACTTTTAAAGCCTCTGGTAATTGAACATAGCCATGGGAAATGACCCATTTATAGATGGTTTACCTATTAAAAATGGTGATTTTCCATGGCTATGTTAAAATCAACATGATTTTTATGAGGTAAACATACGCAAATCATCCATGAATGAAGCGTTCTCGATAGCCATGTTGAATTGTTCAGCGGGTAAGTTTCTCTGAAGGTTCAAGGGAGCAGTGGCTGCAAAACCCGGAACGTCATTCCATGAAATGCCGCTTGGTTCAGCCCAGGATTCCCAGTTCATGGATTATGATAATTATATATAATTGTGATGATAATCCCCAATAGGATAGTATCAATGGCCCGTTTAGTTGGATGATAAATCCCTATCAAAACTGGTGATGTTGCATAGCCAAGAAACAATTACAAAAGTGTAACACATATGTCCAACAAAATAGCATCATTGTTCTCAAAAATTACCAGAGCTTGCCCTCCTGAAAACTAACATAGATGTGGAACACTCACCATGAATGTGAGTCATTTTCCGACCTCAGGGTGTAAATCAAAAGACCTATGAAAAATACCTATGAACAAAACATATATATATATATGATATATATATATATGATATATATATATATGATATATATATATATGATATATATATATATATGATATATATATATATATATGATATATATATATATATATTGCCACATCTTTTTGATATTTACCCCAGCTTTTCTTTAAGACCTTTCGTTCAACGGTCCACTGTGTGTCCGGCACATCTACGACGCCGGTCTCGCGGTGAGAGAATGCTGCGCATGCTGCGCACAGCCTGGGACTACACAGCGGTAGCGATCCGAGAATGTCAACGGATTGGCTCAAGGGACTGGTTGGTGGTTAGTACAACATATGGTTACCAGAGGGTATATATCTATAACTGGTGTATATAACCATATAAACATTATTATATAACATATAGTATAACCAGTATTATATCATAACCAGGGTTTATATGATAGTAATGCCGATCATAGTGGTTATATATGGTTATATATGGTTATATATGGTTATATGATGTTATATGATGGGATTATGTATAGATATAACATAACTGGGGGTAGTGGTTGACCTACCCCTCTGAAAAATATACGAGTATTTAGTGGTTAATAGTGGTTTATGGTGGTTAATAGTGGTTAATAGTGGTTAATGATTCACTGATCAATGGGCTTCTGGTTGATGGTATACCTACCCCTCTGAAAAATGATGGACTTCGTCAGTTGGGATTATTGTTCCCAATATATGGAAAGTCATAAAATTCCATGGTTCCAGACCACCAACCAGGGGAAAATCTGCAGGAAACCATCGATTTTCCCGTGAAATATGTGGGTTTCCTGTAATTTTTCCCTTAACATGAGAATGCGGATGAAATGGTAATATGAATTTTAACTAACTTGATGTGATAGTTGATATGACATACATATGAGGATTTGATTGGGGATGATGTTAAACATACACACACTGGTTTAAGATGGTACAGAAATATCAAATAGCAACCTTCAAATAAAACCGTGTCTGGAAAATTTGATAGTCTATGTTGGAGAATAGGGGATGGGTCAAAACCCTGGTACCTAGTGAACCCCAATTCATAGCTGGGATTTATGGATGTTCATCCCACTAAAAATGTATCTATAGGTATTGACCCATACCCAATAGGGATATGTTCAAACAACCCCGTGTGATAAAATAATCATCTGCAGAGAGCCCAAGCTTTTTCCGCAAGAAATATCAAGGCACATGAGGGGCAGTCAACTAGAGTACCCCTATTCCATCCCCATGGTTCATCATTTTCCCCATTCGAATGGCCCTTATTGGCCCTTATTTTGGAGCATTTCTCATTTCGGGACAACCCCAATTGGATATTGCTGATAGTATCCACATTTTATCACCATTATATTATTATTATTATCATTATCATTATGATTATTGTTGTTATTGTTATTGTTATTGTTATTGTTATTGTTATTTATTAGTAGTAGTGTTATTATATATTCCCATTTTCCCTACTTAAATATCCATTTTGCATGGTAAATCCTTCCCATATAAATGGTAAAACTATGCATGGCCATAACTGGATCAGTGTTTAGATGCTCGAGCAGCGCATCTGCTCCAGAGATAGCCAGTCCAAGACACTTAGAAACACAGAAACCAATCGTCAAAGCAAACTTCAAGAGTAGATACATGATGATTCGGACCATAAGTACTTGACTTTGGCAACACCCACACATGGAACAACACCCACACATGGAAACAAAACAATGAAAGCACTGTTTTTTTTTCAGTTTTACCATCGCCTGGGTGTGTCTGAAAATAGGGTACCCCTAGAATCCCATTGGTTATGTTTTCAAACTTCCCTTTTCTTTGGCAAAAATTCTCTTGCGCCCCCACCAGATCCTCCAAGTTTCCCGGCGCAAAGCAAAGGCAACATCTTGACGCAGCCGGAGCGACCCCCTGGGCAGATTCAGAGGCCAGGATGGAAAACTCAGGTCCTCATCCCAAATAGACCTGGCCAACTTTTTGAAAACACCTATGGTTTCTAACATCCACATCCAATACATCAAAAATAGGTCCAGGTGAACCTACCCCGAATCTGGGAGGGAAAAATATTGACTACCAAAGATACAAGATATTCCCAAGTGTGCATCAAGTACATATGACATGTAATCATGGATCATCATGTGTCGCTATGATCAGGCATTAAAATCATAATTAATCATCATTAATCGCTATTATCAGCCATTAAAATCATCATTAATCATCATTTAACGCTATTATCAGCCCTTAAAATCATCATTACTCATCATAAATCGCTATTATCAGCCATTAAAATCATCATTCATCATCATTAATGGCTATTATCAGCCATTAAAATCATCATTAATCATCATTAATCGCTATTATCAGCCATTAAAATCAACATTAATCATCATTAATCGCCATGATCAGCCTTTATCAACCATTAAAATCATCGTTAATCATCATTAATCATCATTAATCGCTATTATCAGCCATTAAAATCATCATTAATCATCATCATTAATCGCTATTATCAGCCATTAAAATCATCATTAATCATCATTAATCACTATTATCAGCCATTAAAATCATCATTATCATCATCAATCATCATCATTAATCGCTTTTATCAGCCATTAAAATCATCATTAATCATCATTAATCGCTATTATCAGCCATTAAAATCATCATTAATCATCTTTAATCGCCATTATCAACCATAAAAAATCATCATTAAACATCATTAATCGCTATTATCAGCCATTAAAATCATCATTAATCACCATTAATCATCATTAATCGCCATTATCAGCCATTAAATTCATCATTAATTATCATCATTAATCGCAATTATCAGCCATTAAAATCACCATTAATATTTATTAATCGCTATTATCAGCCATTAAAATCATCATTAATCATCATTAATCACTATTATCAGCCATTAAAATCATCATTAATCATCATTAATCGCTTTTATCAGCCATTGAAATCATCATTAATCAGCCATTGAAATCAGCATTAATCATCCTTAATCATCCTTAATCGCCATTAATCATCATTAATCATCATTAATCATCATTAATCATCATTAATCATCATTAATTATCCTTAATCATCATTAATCGCCATTATCAGCCATAAAAATCATCATTAATCATCATTAATCGCTATTGTCAGCCATTAAAATCATCATTAATCATCATTAATCGCCATTATCAGCCATTAAAATCATCATTATCATCATCAATCATCATCATTAATCGCTTTTATCAGCCATTAAAATCATCATTAATCATCATTAATCGCTATTATCAGCCATTGAAGTTATCATTAATCATCATTAATCGCCATTATCAGCCATTAAAATCATCATTAATCATCATCATGAATCGCTTTTATCAGCCATTAAAATCATCATTAATCATCATTAATCGCTATTATCAGCCATTGAAATCACCATTAATCATCATTAATCGCCATTATCAGCCATTAGAATCATCATTAATCATCATTAATCATCATTAATCATCATTAATCATCATTAATCATCATTAATCGGCATGATCAGCCATTAGAATCTTCATATTTGTTGGTTTGATCCCCAATTTCCGTGCCTAGTCCCTCAGCCTGTCGCGATCCGCGTGCGTCAGCCGATGGCAGCGCACGCAGATCGCGGCGAAGGACGCTGGCCTGGAAATGGGGGAAGGCAGTGGGAGCTAAGGGCATAGCACGGGGTAATATGGGTATGGATCAATACCTATTAATACCATTTTTAGTGGGATGAACATCCATTTACCAGCTATTTTGGGGTTCACTAGGTACCAGGGTTTTGACTCATAGCCATGTATGTGTGAATTTAAAATGATATAATATATATATATATATACAATATAATCTGGTGGGTGGTATACCTATCCCTCTGAAAAATATGAACGTCAGTTGGGATGATTATTCCCAATATATGGAAAAATAAATGTTCCAAACCACCAACCAGTAATATATATATATAATATATATATGATGTATGAGGATATACAAGAAGTACAATAGGATATGTATTCTAGTGGGATATATCATAGGGGCACCAAATCGACAATGGTATCGATCAAGTTCTTGGGTGTCCGGAAACATGGATGAATGGTGGACAGTCGTGACCCACCATTCGTGGTTTCCTAGGGCCTTGAACTTAAATGTACAATGTACAAGGTGGTGCCCCATAGTCAGCTAAGCTGGTTTATAACTCCAATAACTTGGGTTTATGGTAGATATATCTATACTTCAGGGGAGTTATGAACCAAATTGAACCAATCTATATGGATGTGTCCTAAAATGGGGGTACCCCCAAATCATCTAAGTCATTAGACCATGAGTTAGTATTGAAACTCTTGTTGACTTGGGGATCCCCCATTTCAGGAAACCTCCATATAATATATGAATACATCTTCAAGGCACGCCAGTAACATGTATATGCATATATTGAAACGTATATAAAATGGATATTCATACATTGAGATATTAAGATATCTTGAAGCAGATCCATATTGCTATGGACAAATCACTTCATATAAATCAATATTCAATGTACAGATCCAGAGATCTTCAAAGCACGCCCATCTCTTGCCTGCGTGGCGACCACAACGGCTGCCATCATAGAAGATGAGTTTCTGACTTTGGATATGGTAATTAGTTGGCTACATGGGCTACATGTTCAACTTGATTATGGAGTGTACGTGTTAAAGACTTGACTTGGGAGTGTACTTGTGAAATTTCGGGACAGGACTCTTTCTGCCTGTTCTTTGGCCTAGTTCAGTCTGGATCTGCGGCCTACAATAAGCTGGCCGTTATTCTCGGCATTCCGATGGTCTCACCGGTGTAGTCTTCCAGCCCGCAAATATTATGCGTTCCGCTTTGAGACATCAAAAAGAAACAACAGGGTTGTAGCATGCTAGCTCGCAAGCTCCCCAAAAAAGATGCCGAAAAGTGGGAAAACCATGGAAAACCTGGAAATATGAGGTGTAAATATCATCGAAAAAATCATCCTAGAAACACTTGTTGCCATCTTTTTGAGAATGGCTGATGGCTATACAGGATTTTTTGTCCCCTATGAGATCTAGGCCGCTAATCTCAGATACTTTGTTCAACGAATAGTTTTGTTGTCGGTTTAATTTCAACTGGCTTCTTAATTCTATATCTACTTCCATTTATGGTGAGATATTGAGGTACTACCTATCCAAGATTGATCGTGCCTGTGATTTGCTATTTTTGTGGAGCTTCTAAGGGGAAAATCAACTATGGATGGGTGATGTTCCGCCACGTTTGATGGAGGTGACAGAGAGACGGATCCTGCTGAAGCAACACCCTGGGGGAAACTAACAGTTCGATGTGGACCATCCACCATGTTTAATCAGTTGTAGATCATTTTCAGAACCCGGAAACCATGGGTTTTCCACATCTATAGATCAGTTTACCCTAAGGTGAAAGGTACCATGTTTGTAGATGTTATATCATGATGTTAAACTTAGGAATAGTTCGTTTTTTTTTTGCGAGGGGGGCCAAACCCTGGAATCCCCTGCTGTTCACGAACCACTGATATGGGGACAGATAATCACTGCTGGTTGGGATTGATATTCAAAAAACTGCTCGTCTCCGAAACGAATGCGCTTACAAACTTCAAAATATATAAAATGTGAAGTATGTCAGGGTCCCCACACATCTTTAATCATCTTCACACATCAGTTTTTTTCTGCCATATTCAGACACCACCCGGTTCAAAAGCTCTTTTTCACTTCTCTTTGCAAGCTCTGAGTCAACGATATTCAACGTCGCATGCAAAGTTCTCAACATCCACGTGACGTAGATGCTGATCCCCTTCCTTCTCCATCTCTATTCGACTCTAATCTCTGAGCTCATTCACAAGCCCAGCGCACCTCCAACTCGAATTCCGCTCAAATTCAGTCTTTCTTTGGTGTTCGGGCCGCTTTTTTAATTCAAGGCAGCCGTCGAACAGGCCATGACTCCCCTTTGGACGATTCTGGACGTTCAGATTGAAAGTCCAGAGAGTTGAGGTTGAAGATGGGTGATGAACATCCAGAAGCGGGCACTCACGACTCATGCAATCAGGGAATCCCAACCAGCTAAAAAATCCTAGAAACATATATAAAATATAAAGGTTTCGAACTGTTTTCACATACAAAATGGCACAACTCATCATCTTCTGCTAGGTCACTTTGAAGAAAGATATTAATTAGAACTGCTTGGATTCCCAAGATTTTCTCACCATGAATCAATCGAACTGCTTGAAGGACACCATGGAAATCGTAGACTGCTGGCAGTCAGCTTCCATTGGCTTACGGCCTCCTATCCCCCGGAGGTACCGCAAGTTCCGTGCCTCACTGCAGACAGTGCCTTAGGTGCAAAATAAATGGGAGAATGTTTTCTCATTGTAATGTATGAAGATGTAACAATGTATGAAGTGGTATATTAATGTACTCATGTTCTCCATTTATATGACTCATCTCTTTATTATACTTTAGACTTGATTTGTCCATGTTTGGCTCAGGGCTTACAGTACTCCACCATCCATCACCTGGACCAAAAATGAGGCTCCAAACTGCAGTGAAGGCAGCAACAACTCATTGGCCAACTCAGACCTTGAGATTCAAAACCGGAGAAAACTTCTTGGCTTTTCGCATCCCGTTCGCGTTGGAGGACAAAATATGTATTATAACACAATTACAAATACAGTACAATGATTAGTGGTAATCAAATGTAACAAAATGCAACAATAATGATTGCAATAATGGAATGATCATCGCCACAAGAACAACAATAATTATGTATTATTATTAGTAGTAGTATTATTATTAATTATTATTATTATCATTACTATTATTATGATTATTATTATCATCATCATCATTATTATTATTATTAATTGTTACTATTATAGTATGATCATAAGAGTAGCAACAATCATGTTTTATAGAGCAATAAATCACAATTTCATGATTAGCCCTTCAAGATGGAGGAGAAGACCATCTCCAGTGATTGGGACCTACGGGTCATACGAAATGGCAGTGGTCACAGACGAGACCAATGCTTCTCTAGGACAGGATAGTTTTTTTTTCTGACCTGGTAGACAAAATAATCCCTTCCCCCTAGTATCCCTAGTATTACCCTCTGGTAAACGTTTACATAACTATGGAAAATCACCCTTGTTAATGGGTAAATCCACTATTTCTATGGCCATGTTCAATAGCTATTTGTGTTAGTTTACCAGGCCGGGTATACCCCATGTTTTCCCTGGGATGATTTATACACCCCAAACGAAACCATGGTGGAAGATCTTGGATCCATGGCACACCATTAATATAGCAGCACCGTTAGGATCCGTCATGGGTCAAGAAACTCCTATTTAGAGCTGAAGTTCCATTAAAAAACCCACCAATCTCCTGGATAGGCATTTCCCATGGTGTTTACCGAAGCGCGAAAAGCCGGGAGTGTCGGGCTTCCGGGCGGGAAGCGAGTTGGCAAGCTCCTGGCTGTCCAAAAGTCGCGTGGGTGAAAAACCAATTGGTGAAATGCGATGTATCATCATGATTCATCATGTATCTGGATTATCTGGATTATCTGGATAGTCAATCTCGAAGCAGATTCTAACCGCCAATCACACAGATATACACAGATGATTCAATATTGATCTTATCCGGATCTGGATAGAAGTGACATCCCAGTTCCTGTTTCCTCTTCCAAAATCAATTATCTCAGAGGACTCGTGTTCAATCATATCGTCACCGGAATTCCTGCCTAGACCCTTCAAATACCCCTATAAATGGCCAAGCATATACTAAATCATGGTGTAGAACATCATTTTGATGGGAGCAAGGCATTATTTTCTAGATGTACATATTTATCATATTTTTCGTAGCTTCATCATATGGTTCTTCATGTTTCATCTGGTAAAGCCAATTTCATAAACCATCCCCAAAATAACCATGGGATGATGGGTTTTAATAACCGTCCCCAGTCATGGTCGGTGGCATTGGATTTACCGCACTATTATTGGGAGGTTTATTCTGGGATAAGATATATTGATGATTTGTTTTTTAGGATTTACCCATTGAAAAATGGTGATTTTCCACAGCCATGTTAGTTATTGTTAGTTTACCAGAGGGTAATATGTTTATGACTCGACTATCATGACTAGGACTTGTGGTAGGTCTATAGTTTATGGGCTAGATCTATCCAAGCCATGAAAATCCCATTGAAAAGCAATTATAATAATGGAATATAAACATATAAACCCCCAATATAAATAGTTGGTTATATTCTCACCCATAGGATCCATGTATGGTATATATACTAACATTTGGGGTATATTGATGGTAAATGTCACCATGTATAGCATACATGGATCCTATGGGATAGATTTCCAGAGATTTTACCGAGTCCCCCAAGCTGCCGCCATACACCATCCAAAGACTGCTCCTGGCCACTGCAGAATATCGCTGGTCCACCTGGGTGAACCCAGAGTTTCTGACAAACGTTCGCCGCGTATCTTTTTATTATGGGAGTTTACCATAGTCATGGAGGTACCCTCTGGTTATGACTAACATAGCCATGGAATAGATGGCCCATAGAAATAGATGGTTTACCGAACTTAAAAATGGTGGATCTTTCCATGGCTATGTTAGTCATAACCAGATGGTACCCCCAAATGGATGGGTTTATACCGGAAATGATGCTGAAATGAAACGGTAAAAACATGGGTTAACTTCACATATATCATCAACCCATGGTTGTTAATCCATGTTAACCCATGGTTGTTAACCCATGTTAACGTTTGATTGTGGATTAAACATGAAGAAATTTCACGAAGAAACAGTGGTTACTATCTTCTGGTGATCAACTTCTCCAAGTCTCGCAGAGATTTCACCGACTCTCCGCGACGTCATCACGGTTGATGCTTGGATGGTTTGCAAAAAATGGATCCCGGGGAGAGGACATTGTACAACCCATGACGGATCCATGGTGCTGGTATATATGCTAACATAAAGGGGGTATATTGATGGGATCCATGTTAGCATATATAGCAGCACCATGGATCCGTCATGGGCAAGATTCTTGTATCATTTTTTTGGGAATTCAATGAAGTCAATATGTAGGGAAGAGATTATATTTTTAAAAAATATAAGTTTCGGATGGATGTAAGTATCAGTATAAGACTAATTACAACATACTAGTCACATTAGGTAATGATGTTTTGTTTATTCTATCATATTATATCTATCTCTATATATATACACATATATCTTTGTATTCACATCCATAGGACATTACAATCATTACAATCATTGGGGGACATGTTTTTATTTCTTATGACATGACATCCACCGAAAAACCTCTATTTCCAGTCACCACACCGCACCCCAGGTTGTCTGGTCACAACTGCGGTCAATCCCTGTGCTTCAAGGCGAAAGCCTGCCATCTGCTCGGAGATGGGGGGTGTCTTACAATCAGAAACTGATGTCACCCTCTGGTAAACTAACATAGCAATGGAAAGTCTCCATTTTCAATAGGTAAATCAAATCAAATATCAATGGCAATTCTCAATAGCTCTGTTAAGACATAACCAGAGGGTATCCCATCTATAGAACTGGCT